ATAAGCATAAGCAAAATGCATAAGGAAATGGACCAATCAATTTCCTTATGCTTATGCGTTATGCTTTATGCAAAAGTCTGTGCTCCGGCCATAAGGACTCGTTTATACTCAAAATCTATAGAGAGAAGGTTACCTCAGGCAAACCGGTTGTGGGTGAGGGACGATGAAGTAAGGGGGGAGCTAGAACAGCTTGTTGGCGAGGGGCGACGAAGTAAGGGGGGAGCTAGAAACAGCTTGTAGACGAGGGGCGACGAAGGAAGGGGAGAGCATGATGATCTCATCGTCAAACAGTAGCTGTCACTCTCGCACGCTTTAGTGTTTTCTCTCTCGCTCCTTTAATATAGAAATACTTTGAGTTTTTATCAAAAAAATACTTTTATTTTAGGTCTGTTTTTTATAGCTGAACTGGCTGCACTAGTTCAGAGTTTATCTTTCTCCTTCCAATGTGGAGGGAAAAAGATAAACTTTGAACTAGTATAGCCAGTTCAGCTATAAAGAACAGACCTTTTGTAAAATATTGATAGCACTGGAAATTGCGTAATAAAAATTGAAAAGTAAATTAGAAAGGCGCTATAAATTACATATATTGCAAATTATAGCGCTAGATATTTAACGTTTATAATGTTAAATATCGCTGCAACAGATGCATTTGTAATACAAATTGCTTTGTACTCGTATTTAGACTGTAATATCAATGAAAATAAAATATAATTTAGGGATACACAAAAAAAACATCATTTGTAAAGTAGTAAAATAAAAGAAAAAATAGTACATATTTAAAAATTATTTTTAAAATAATATTTACTGTTTATATGCATTATTTACAAAAGAAATTTATTTTTTATATTTAATTGTGAAAACCTCAAAAATTGTCAAGAAATTGTAACTGAAATTCATAAATGTAAGTACAATTCTAGGAAAATATAAAAAGCATTATACACAAATTTATTATGATACAAACTTAAATAACGAAATTGTAATATATGTTTCAACATTGCAAATGTGAATATTTATATGATAAAATTTACAAAGTGTTAACAATTTTCAAATATTTGCTAATAAAATATTATTGAAATGTTTCTGTTGAAAT